TTGTGTTAATAAGGCCTCTTAACATTGAAGCAGCGAAGATAAAGGAATTTTATGTAGCTATTCATGATTCTGCCCAGCTCAAGGTTAAGATAGCAACATAACACTTTAACAGGATAAAAGAAATCTCCACTTGACTGCAGCTCTTCATAACACTTCACAAGGGTCAAGCTGTTTTATTTCATGTCAATGTTAAACAGAATGCATTTTAGGAGCATAGTTCAATTATTGATTGAATAGTGGGTTCAAACTGACTATAATCCCAGTTAATACACTCCAAGACCAGGGATGGACCAGCAAATGGGTAGTTTTCACTCAAGTATTGAGGCAAACACTCAGATTAAAATTTGTAACTTGGTTGTCTTATAATTTTTGGACACATACAAATACAATATGGTTCCAGTCCTGCTGTAAAAAACTGGTAAGGTAACAAAAAAAAGTTGACGTGGTTTGAGTAAGTAAATACCAAAATGGACATCAATCTGAGAAAAATTAATGAAAAAAAATGTATATGGATTTTAGAAGAGTTTAGGTTCAAACACTCAGTCTTTGGGAGAAAAGACTAGTATATTGTTGTTGTTTTTTTTTAATTTTAAAGATGTGTGGTACAACTCAGGGTTAGGTATACAAATGTTCATTATACAGGTACCCTTGATGAGGTGTGCCCCTCCCTCCCCTGGTGGTTTCTTTCAGCTGCCAATCCCGCTCCTCCTCCCCTGGCAGTTTCCCATTACTGCCAATCCCTTTCTTATAGTATTATAATAATTGTTCAAGATCTGGTTATATGTAAGAACATATGGTACTCTCTTTGTTTCTGTGATAGATCATTGAGTATGATAGACTCCAAATCCATCCACGTTACTGCGAAGTCTGTATGTTTGTCCTTCTTTATGACTGCATGATATTCCATTGTGTATATATACCACAATTTTTTTTTTTTTTCAGTTGGAGTCTCACTCGGTCGCCCAGACTGGAGTGCAGTGGCCACTGCCGGCCACCGCAGCCTCGCCTGCTGGGCTCTGGCGATCCTTCCACCTCAGCCTTCCGAGTAGCCGGAATTACAGGCATGCGCTACCACGCCCGGCTGATTTTTGATTTATTGTAGAGATGAGGTCTCGCTGCCCAGGTGGGTCTCGAACCCGCGGGCTCTGGCAATTCACTCACCTCAGCCTCCCAAAGGCGCGGGATTACAGGCTGAGCCACCGAGCCTGGCTATACCACATTTTTAAAATTCAGTTCAGCTTGGATGGGCAGCATGGTTGGAACTTGTTGGTTTTATGTTTTTGTTATTGTGAATAGAACTGCAACAAACATGCTTGTGCAGGTATCTTTTTTTGTGGAATGATTTGAATTCCTCTGGGTATATTCCCAATAGGGGGGTTGCTAGGTCATATGGAAGGTCAATTTCTAGTTCTTTCAGAAATTACCACAATGTCTTCCAAAGATGTTGCACTAGTTTGCCTTCCCACCAGCCGTGTAGAAGCGTTCCTTTTTCTCTGCCTCCTCACCAGCATCTGTTGTTGTTTGTTTTATTAAAGATGGCCATTCTTACTGGGGCTAGGTGGTATCTCAATGTGGTTTTGATTTGTATTTCTCTGATGATGAGTAAGGTTGAACACTTTTTCATGTGTCTGTTGGCTGCCCGTATATCTTCTTTTGGGAAGTATCTATTCATGTCTTTTGCCCACTTTTTAATGGGGCTGTTAGTTTTTTTCCTTTCAGCATGTTTGAGTTCCTTATAGATCCTAGGTGTTAGGTCTTTGTCAGATATACAGTTGGAAAATATTTTTTTCCCATTCTGTAGGCTATCTCCCTGCACTCTTGGTGGTTTCTTTTGCTTTGCGTAAGTTTGTCAGTTTGATGAGGTCTCACTTGTCTATCTTACTCTTATGGTTTGGGAACTTAGGAGTTTGATCAGGAATTGATTGCCAGTTCCAATTTCCATAAGGGTGTCTCTTTCATTTCCCAAGATTCTTATAGTTTGAGGTTTTACGTTTAGGTCTTTGATCCATTTAGTGGTGATTTGTATGTCTGGTGATAGGTATGGGTCCTGTTGTAATCTTCTGCATGTGGTCAGCCAGTTTTCCCAGCACCGTTTACTGAATAGGTTCTCCTCTCCCCAGTGGTTGTTGTTGGAGGCTTTGTCAAAGATGAGTTGGCTGAGAAATTAAGGCTTTGTTTCCAGAATCTCAATCCTGTTCCATTGGTCCATATGCCTGTTCTTGTATCAATACCAGGTTGTTTTGATTATTGTAGCTTTATAGTAAAGTTTGAAGTCTGAAAGTGTGATACCTCCTGCTTTGTTTCTTTTGCTAAGGATTGTTTTGACTATTCATGGTCATTTATGTTTCCATATGTATTTCTGTATTGCCATTTACAGGTCTGAGAAGAATGATGTTGGTAATTTAATGGGTATTGCATTGAATCTGTAGATTGCCTTTGGTAGGATGGAAATCTTAACAATGCTGATGTATTCTATTTTGAATACTACAAAAGTGATTTTTAGACTGTCTACCCTTCAGTCTCCTCCACCCATCTCCTTCATTCTAGAAAGCATTTTGCGCATCTATAAAAGGTATTACTTACTGTTTGGTTTATGAAATAAAATAAGAAAGACAATATTTCTTTCTACTTTCTAGCTAATCCGGATGTATTTCTATTCTTGCTTCTATTAGCACATAATTCAAATACATTGGTTTTATAGTGGTTATTCTGTTATGTTTCTCAAGAGCCTTCTGTTCTAGAAAATTCCATCAATGGAACACTTCTGGCATGTGCTGGTCAGAGTCCTCCCATCACCAAAATATTACTGAATAACATGAATTTTCTCCGCTGTCAATTATTTCATAGATATTTTTTGCAACCTTTTCTTTTGATTTACTGCTCATACTACTATTAATGAAAATAGATTTTAGATACTCAACTTTTGTTTTTAAAATCTTGTATTGTGGAAATTCTAAATATATGCAAAGTAGCAAGAATAGCCTAATGAACCTCTATGTGCTCATTACACATATAGATTTAACTATTTAACTAATATTAATTTATGGTCAATCTGGTTTCATCTGTACCCGTCATTCACTCATTCCTAACTCCCTGGATTATTTTGAAGCAAACTCATGCATAATGTAATATGCAAACATCAACAAACATTTCAGTATGAATCTTTAAAAGAAAGCATTGGTTTTAAAGCCACAATAGCATTATTATACCTGCAAGCATTTACAGTACTTCCCTAATATTATCAAATTCCTTAAGTATAACTTAAAATTATCTCATTTTTTTCTTTGTATTGTTAACTTGTTTAAATGAAGAGTCAAAAAAGGGCCACACTTGTCATTTGACTGACGTATTTCTAAAATCCCTTTCAGTCTATTGGTTTTCCTTTCATGTAATTCTTTGCAACTTATTTATTGATGAAACTGAGTCATTTGTTCTTTGTTTTTTTCTTTTGTTCTGGATTTTGCTGATTGTATTCCTGTAGTGTCATTAACCAGCTTCTTCAATCTCTATAAATTCTCTCAAATTTCCTATAAATTTGAGCTAGACTGAAATGTTTCACAGGTTTATTTCTCTCTCTCTCTCTCTTTTTTTTTTTTTTTTACCAAGAGTTGTTCAGAAATATCATTGTGTAATCCAAACAGGAAGCTCATAGAAAGTTTGCCTTTATTGCAGCTAATTGAAAGAATGCTTGTGATTTTATAAGTATATGTTATGGTTGTATCCTACAGAAATTAAATATTTCTAGCGTGTATACTAAACTTAATTTTGTCATTATTACATAATATTTCAAGAAAAACATCTTAATCATCAGTGATTCCACCAACTGAGCGAGTTTGAAACAGCATTACTCTAGTGATTATGAGATTATAGATTATTCTACTCGTGTGTCTAAAATTGGATTAAATTTTTGAGAAATTCCAGAGGAAGTAGCCTTGAGCACACACAAGATACATATTCAGATTTTTTAGAATCTAGAATAATTCTAGGTTATTGTCAGAATAGAGAATGAGGAATATTGTGTTAGACAAAGACTTCTTTGATGGCCTCGATCATTCTAGTTGGTGCCCTTAGAGGAAACCAATATGGACCAGATTACAGGGGCAATTCAAAGCATCAGAATTCTGGTGGTGGAGTACAATGAACCATTTCAGTCTATTCCAAGGAAATAGGACAATCTTGTCAATATCCTGGAAAGCAGAGTTGCGATAAAAATATGAAGACGCCATATGAAATGTTAATTATATTTGCAAAACATAAGTATATGTATATTCTTAGGAATGGAGAAAAAGTATGGGATTGTGGCTTTTCCAAAATTCGTGTCTATTAGAAAAGCCACCTCTGTGATTACCTTTTTGAATCCTCTTATGAATAAAGAAGACCTGGGAAAATTAGTAGTCTTTAATTTATGGTTAGTTATTAGCTTATTATGACAGAACTTGAATCTCGTGTCCCACTTGCCAGATATGAATAAAATATATTTTTCCACTATATATTTATCAAAGTGAATATAATACAAATTCTATTTGTATTGATGCTTTTTGTCCAAAGTCATGGTATCATTTATAAATATGCCAGTTATTTAATAAAACATCACTAAAATTATTCCTATATTGCTTTGAAACTCATAGGAAATATATTTCATTGGCGCAGAGAACTGTATTGTATTAGGTTAATGAGTTTTCTTCAAGTTCTGAAGTTCCTTGAATCTATTTTAATTCCATATCAGGAATTGGAGAGGTTTTTCCAGGAAGAGTTACTTGAATTCACCAAATACAGTGCGGGAGTCCATGACCCACTTCTTGTATTTCTATTTTCCTACTGCTTTTACCCACAAAGAGTAGACACATATTACTTGTTTTAACATATTGCTATGTAAAGACCTGTTAATGTTACTATTTTTCAAAAGAAATGTTTTGTTTTAAATGTAGTCATCCAATATGTAATTTTTTACTATTTTTATTTTTACTATTATTATTGTTTTTTTTTTTTTAACCACTCAGACTGTGTCCTCTCTCTCTTGCTCTCCCAGAGGAAGACAAGAACCATCACCAGTGGCAAATGGCAGTTGCAAAGCAACACCAAGAGCCGGCTTTACGCTCAGGAGAGAACACTGCACTTCCTCCTCGTGGTTTCTGGTGCTCGACACTCTCAGAGAAACTTCTCGAGTAACCAACTATAGAAAAGACCCTTGAAAGTATAGTCTCATGCTATTATTGCATGTAATGCCTAACCTGCCACAGCTAGGATCCTGAAACAGGCTGTATCTTTGGAGCAAAGTGATGAGGTTATTGTGAAAATAGAAAAGGATAGCTGTAGGCAACTCCAAACGTATAATTTCTACAGAGCAATAGCAATTAGATATACTTTTCAAGGGTGGGGAGGGGAGACTATTACATTTACAGTGGGATTCTTTTAAAAATTTTATCTTATTATGGTAAGAACTCTTAACATGAAATTTAGCCTCTTAACAGATTAAGTGTATAATACATTATTGTCAACTATAGCCACAATGTTGAACATTAGAGTTTTAGAGTTTATCCATCTTGCTTAACTGAAATTTTATGCCCATTGAATAGTGACTTCTCGTTTTTCCTATTCTCCAGCTTCTGGTAATTGCCACTATACTCTTTGATTCTACACGTTTGACTATTTCTGATACCTCATGTAAGTGGAAACACACTATATTTGTCTTTCTATTACTGGCTTTATTTCACGTAGCATAATATCCTCCAGGTCACTGATGTTGTCTCATATTGCAGAATTACTTTCTTTTGTAAGGCTGAATAGTATTTTATTGTATATATGACATTTTAAAAAAATTAGTTCATCTGTTGATGGATATTTAGAGTGTTTCCACATCTTGGTTATTGTGAATAGTGCTGCATTGCCTTATTCAAGGGAGTTCTAATATCTCTTTGATTGCAGTTCTTTGGATATTAAAAGGTGGAATTGCTGGATCATATGGTAATTTTATTTGCAATTTTTTTGAGGAAATTCCATACTGTTTTCCTTAACAGCTTGCACCATTTTGTGTTTTCATTAACAGTGTGCAAGAGTTCCAATTTCTTCACATCCTAACCAACATTTGTCCTTTTTGTTTTATTTTTTAATTTCCAAAGTTAATTAGAGAAAGAAGGAAGAAAAGAAAGATATGCCGGAGTTGACACGGGTAAAAGAAACTACCTTTTGTTTTTTCCATAACGGTGTTGTGACAGGTGTGAGGTGATATTTTATTATGGCTGTGATTTGCAATTCACAGATAAATAGTGACATCGAACATTTTTAAATATACCTGTTGGCTATCTGTTTGTCTTCCTTGGAGAAACAGCTATTAAAGTTTCTAGTTCATTTTTTAATCAGGTTAATTTGGGGTGTTTTTTGCTATTGAGTTGTTTGAATTCCTTATATATTTTGGATCTTAATCCTTTATCAGAAGAGATTCTTTTTTAATATTTCATGACATATTAGGTTGAAGAAATTAACTATCTTAAGTAAAGTGCTTTCGTGTGGCTTACTATGACACTGCTGATTATAATATTAACAGAAATGTATGAAATGCAGCTTATACCAAGAAACAGGTTAGGTTTTGCTAGAGCAATAAAACCCATATTCTAAGAGTTTTGGTCAAGAACCTAAAATTCAGTTGAATATAAAGAAATGGCAATTATTCAGGAAGCCTCAGAAGTACATTTTAGAAACTGATGTGAAGACTTTAATGGTGATTATATTGTGAAAAAAATTTCATATAAAGAATTTCTGTTTTGAATATCCAAGTAAATTTTGCATTAAATTTAATTGTCAAATGTGTAGCTCATGTTCTTATATGACATTTTTTATATCTTGTTTATATTAATTTGCAGTTTATTAAGAAATGTTTTCTGTAATTTGATTTGTTAAAAAAGATTCTCATGGTACATCAATAAAATTCTGTATTAGTGATAAAGGAATTTCCAGAAAAGGTATACTTTCCATTGATATTTGAAAGTAAGCATTTCTTACTTTATCCTGATTATGCTAAAAATTTGTATGGGAGGATGTGAGCCAGTATTACATGATTTTCAATGTTTTCATCTAGAGAATTTCTTTTTTCTATTTTTATGTTTATATTTGGCCAGCTAATTGGATTTCATTGAGTGAGCTGGTATTTTTAAGTAAAACAAAATTAACAGATCTTTGGAAGAGCTAAATCTAAGACCTTGGCCTATTACACATGTAAGTTTAGCTTTGCTAGCTGCCATTTTAAATAAATAGTAATAGTGACCATAAAATAGCAGAATCTTAGAGTTAGAAGATACCTTAAAAATTACTCACCCTCTACTCTGAGGCTGGAATTCCTTAACAATATCTCTGGCTTACAGCATCCTAATCAAGGAATTAATATTTTCTAAGTTGTGCAGATTACTACTTTCATAGGAAGCTAATGACATGTTTAGGTAGCTCTAATTTTTAGAAAATTATTTCTTATATTGAACCAAATTTTGTCACTGGAGCAGTATCAAACATATCTACATGACAGTATTTTGAATTTTGGAGCTCAAACTTTCATGCCTTTCACCCCTACAAACCTTTACTTTGTTAAAAGAAATTTTCAAGAATCTCTAAAATAATATTATTATGTATCCATATGGAGCTGACGATAAAGTCTTCCATACTACAAAAACTGCCTGCAATTTTTTTTAGTTAAACTGCAAGGAATTAGAATTCAACTACAAAGTTAAAGAGAAGAACCCTTTACTTCTGACATCAACTACAGGTCTGGGATTATCCCAAACCACCTTCAGGTTGAATAATTTACCATTAAGACTCATATAACTCACGGGAAATCATTATACTTATGGTGTCATTTATTAATACTACAGGGAAATTATACAGAAAATAAGCCAAAGAAAAACACACATAGTACAGAGTCTGGAAGGGTTCCAAATGGGAGATTTCTGTTGTCTCCAAGATTTGTTGCCCTTCCACTACTAATGTGTGATGATACATATCTTAGTCCATTTGGGGATGCTATAACATAATACCACAAACTGAGTAGTCTATAACAAACAGAAATTTATTTCTCACAGTTTTGAAGGCTAGGAAATTCAAGACCAAGGGGTTGGAATCTGTACCTTTTTGCTGTGTCATTCTATGGCAGAAGGCAGAAGGGCAAAAGTGGGAAAAAGAGCAAAAGAGGGCCCAGAGAGTCAAATCTCCCATTTATAACAAATCCATCCCTGCGATAACAGCATTAATTTATTCACGGCCTAATCACCTCTCATAAAACTCTACATCTTATAGTTGCATTGGAGAGTAAGTTTTGAATACTGTACATGTTTCCTGAAGAACACATGCTAACACATGATGTACTGTCAATTTGAGAAGCTCACCCGAGCTTTTGTATCCAGAGTTTTTATTAGATTTTTATTATATCTGATTGATTGATGAATAGATGAATTGACAAGGTTGTCCAATGGACCCACCATAAACAACAAAGTCATCCCTAATATTTGTAAAATGTCATGGGTTTAAAGGTATTTCCCAGGAGTCAGTTGAAAAGGCCAGATTTCTCTTTGGATAAGGCCAAATTTCTTTCTGTGCCGTATTATTTGGTATTTTCATGTCCCCAAACACTCTGAATTCTTAATCTTACATGCAATGTAGTTTCAGAAGCTCAACATGTCTTGGATGTGTTTCTCTAGATCAGTGGTCCCCAAATGTTTTGGCATTAAGGACTGGTTTTGTGAAAGAACATTTTTCCATGAAGGGGGGTTGAAGGACTAGGGGGATCATCAAGCATTAGATTCTCATAAGGCGCACGCAACCAAGATCCCTCACATGTGCAGTTCACAGCAGGGTTCACGCTCCTATGAGAATCTAATGCCTCTGCTTGTCTGACAGAAGGCAGAGCTCCTCTAGCCCATCAATCACCTCCGACTGTATGTCCTGGTTTCTAACAGGCTGCAGCCCGGGGGGTGGGGGATCTCTGCTCCATATAATCTCTAACTTATCGATTTCCTCTTTTAAAATAAATACTTCCGATTGCTTGTCTTTAGAACTACCTCTATACTGAAGTATTACATCCCTACTAGGAAATATGATAATTCTTTGGACTTTGAGGTTGACAGACTTGGAGAATCTTGACATTTAACAGTATTTAGACCTTGGAAACATTATATATTCGTTATGAGCGTCCAGTTCCTCATAAATACAGTGTTATCAATAATACTCATTTCATATTTTATGGAGACTACATGAGATCACATGTCAAATTTTTAACGCTTCATGGGAATTTGAGAAATATTTGTTATTTTCTAAGACAAATACTGGAAAGTCCGAATTTGTGTTTGGGAGAGAGGTATCTTAACAGTACTTGCCTATCAAGTCTTCTAGTCTAAATGTATGCATACATTATTAAAAAAACAGAATTCAATTCGATTCATCCAATATTTATCTAAGTTCAGCTGAGAAGTGCAAAGCATTATGCTAGTGACTGAGAGAGAAAAAGACAGTTTCTGCCTTCCTGGAGTGAAAACATTTTCATAAATTTCTTTGATTTAAGTAGACTGGAATAGATGTCAAATTCAGGTGCATAACTGGTACAATAATACAAGTCCAAGAGAGAAAAACATTTCTAATTGGGGTTATTGGAAAAATGCCTCTCCAAAAAGGTAATACATTATGGGAGGATCAGAGTACTAGGTGGGCTTGTATGGAACCTTTGAAAGTAGTAAGTATCTTTTTTGAGAATTTCTGATTGATTATACATGGTAGAAAAGTGAATTTAGAACAAGACATAAATAACCATGAATACAGGAACAAAATATAAACAAAATATCTTAGAAATCGAAACTCTCTGAAATAATTGGTAATGTTAAAAAAAAACAAATGAAACTTGTAGTCAAAAGTTGAATCTTTGTATGAAAAATACTTTGTTTAATGCAAAGAGATTGTTTATTTGCTTCATACTTTAAAAACCCATGAGACGTTACCCAATTTCTGAAACTTACTATGCCAGTTTTTTATTTCAAGGAACATATGTGTAGATTTTGATGTAGTTCATTTGAGAACTGTGAATAAATTAAAATCGTTCATTTATTCATCAAACAATTCATTCAGCAAATATTCACTGAATGTATTCTGTGTACCAGGAACTGTTCCAGGCTCTGGGATACATCTGGAAAAAAGTAGACAAAACCCTGCCCTCTGTGGGTCACTGATAAATAAACAAGTGAGTAAATATGCAGAATATAAGATGGTGTAAGTATTATGGAGAAAATAAAAGCAGTTATAATTAGTGATAGAGAGGCCACAGGAGGGTGGTATTTGGTATTTTATACAAGTCTATCCAGAAAGGCTTCATGACAGACATTTGAGCAGAGACAATTCCCACTGTGGATACATACCAGAGAGGTATCTGGGACTGAGAGTTCCAGGAAGAGAAGCAATAAGAGTAAGGTTCCCAAGGTTGGAGCATGCTTGGCATTTTTCCAGAAACAGCAGGAAATCTAGTATGATGGCTGAAGGAGAATGAGCAAGGGATGCTGTAATAGCAGGCCGTGTGTCAGGACAAAGAGTCTGTACTTATACCTCACCTATCCTGCCCTCTTTGCCTCCCCCTCACCACTTGACTTTGTGCTCCTCTACACTTGTGATGTCCAATATGGTCACCACTAGCCACTTGTGACTGTTGGGAACGTGGAATGGGGCTAGTCCAACCAGACAGTATGACATATTTAATATGTTGACATAAACATATTTTGGCTATTGGGCTAAGAGTAAGTAATTTCATCTGTTTCTTTTCTTGTACTTAATATTTTTGTTTTGAGATAATTCTAGATTCCCACACAATTGCAAGAAATCCTATCCACTCTTTATCCACTTTTCCCAACAATATCTTGTGAATTTATATTCACAGTAGTGCTACTGGGATATTTACAATGATCCAATCCTATTCAGATTTCTCTAACTTTAGCTGTACTCATGTACGTGTGTGTGTGTGTGTGTGAGTGTGTGTGTGTGTGTGTGTGTGTGTGTGTGCGCGTGTATTATTTCTATGAAATTTTTTTTTACATGTGTAGGTTCGTGCATCTACCACCACATCAAAATACAGAATGGTTCTTTCATTACAAAGATCCCTTATATTGTCCTTCCATAACCACTCCCATTCCTTCTTGTATACAACTCCTCCCTTTAGCCCTGATCTCTAGCAATAGTCTGTTCTTCATTTCTATAATTTTGACTTTTGAAAAATGTTATGTAAATCAAACAATGTATATCCTTTGGGGATCGCCTTTCTTCCCTTAGCACAATTCTCTAAAGGTTAATCCAAATCACTGTACACACACACACACACACACACACACACACACACACACACACGCACGCACACGCACACACACTCACACATTTCATTGCCTCCTTTTTGCTGCGTAGTATTCCACGGTACAGATGTACCACAATTTATTTATTTATTCAGCCATCAAAGGACACCTGGGTTGATTCTAGTTTTGCTGTTATGAATAAAGCTGCCATAATTATTCCTGTACAGATTTTTGTGAACATAAATTTTCTCTTTTTTTTTTTTTGAGTTGAAATTGCATTCTGTCACCTAGGCTGGAGTGCTGTGGCACACTCACAGCCACCCCAGCATCGACCTGCTGGATTCCGGCGAACCTTCTGCCTCAGCCTTCCAAGTAGCCAGAACTATAGGCGCGTGCTACCACACTTGGCTAATTTTTTTTATTTATTGTAGAGACGAGGCCTTTCCAAGTTGCCCAAGCTGTTCTCGAACCCATAGGCTCAGGCGATTTCCTCTCCTCACCCTCCCAAAGTGCTGAAATTACAGGCTTGAACTGACTGAACATAAGTTTTCATTTGACTGGGGTAAATGCTGAGTCCAATCTGATTCCAATTGCTGGGTCATATGGTAATGGCATGTTTAGTTTTATAAGACTGCCAAAGTGTTTTCCATAGTGGCTGTGCCCCATCTGTTTCTTTTTACTTTTTTTTCAATGTGGCTACTAGAAAATTTTAAATTACATCCATAATTTTTCACATTTTGTGTAGAAAGTCCTGTCTTGAGTACCAAGTTCTTCCCAGATGCCATGATTTTCATCTGGAGTATATTCGTATTATCCCATCATAAATGCATGAACGTCTATAACTTACCCATTTAAGAAAATCTCTGAAACCAGATGCCCTAGGTTTAGATCTTGGGTCTATTTCTTAATGTCTGTATGATTTGTTATGTTACTTAATACTTTGGTTCCTCAGGTTTTTCTTTTTTTTTTTTTTTAAGCAGGATTTATTAAGAGGACAAAAAAGCTCCCACAGTAAGGGAACCCAAGGGGCTTGCCTGGTTCCTCAGTTTTTTTAACCTGTGAATGGGGTGATTGTAGCAGTACTGATCTCGTTGGGTTTGTGTGAGTGTTACATGAATTCTTGCATGTAAAATTATTTTCTGTTGAGACCCTTCTGACCTCTTCCCCGAAAGCAGCTTCAAATCCTCATACAGACTTCCACTGCAGTCAACATTCTCATTAAATTTGTGATTGCATGATTATTTCATATATTTCCTCACTGCTAGAATCTAAGCACCTGTGAGGCCAGTGACCTCATGGGTCTGATTCACTGCTGTATCCTGAGTGCTAGCACAGAACTGGCCAAGAAGAGGCACTTAATTTATCACTGAAGAATGAATGAATGAATTTCCTTCAATGTAAACATGTGTTCATGATTTACTTATAGTATTATTTTGTTTAATTTCTTTCTTAATTTTTAAAAACTCATTTTTTCATGTTTCTCTGATTAAGAAGACTAGGTCTCTAATTGTAAGTTATAGAAACAGTTTTTACAAGAGGATTCTATGTATTCTGGAATAAAAACCGTTCTGGTATTATAACAGAATTCAAAGGTAAAAATTTTAAGACTCATCTGTAATGTGATACTGTTTAGTTATTTGGATTAAATATTCAGTTTAAATAATAATTTCGTTGTTGCGCTGAGATTCTCTGGGTTGACAGAATTCAGGTTACTTACCTACTTCCTTTGGCTTTATGGGCCTTTTGAAGACTGAGCCCCCAAAGCACCAGTAGGTGACATTGTTACAGAAATACTTCTTTATACCAATAATTTTATTTTGATATTCCAATTATTTAAGGCCTTAATTAGGTAAGTTTCAAGACAGTCTTAGGAAGGTCAGTGAAAACCATGGTGCCACATACATGATCTTCCCTTATTCACTCTCTGTTTAAAGCCCAAACTGTGTACCAACTATGACTAACAACCGCATATACCTTTTGTACACTCACACACACACATTTGGTTAGTCATTTGCCTTTGCCTTCTTACATACTGAGAGCAGTTACCAAGATAGAAAGAATATGAACTTACAGTCACTTTGACCTAGGATGAATGAGACTCTTGCTCTACCATTTTATTAACTTTGTGGTCTTAAAAAGATCAATAAACATGTTTTGCCTTCATTTCATTTGCTACATAATGGAAATGCTACCTGGAGACATTCATTGCATTGATGACTAAATGAAAAAGTTCACTTATAGGTTCTAATAATAAATATCTCCATCTTTGGGTGGTACCACCTTGTGTCATGAATTTTAGGGCATACTTATAGAGGTATGTTTTCTCCACATGACTACGAAGGCAGGTGTTATTGGATTAATGTTATACATCAGACATGCTAAGTATCAGAAATGTCATTTAACTTCACATAGTTACATGACAAGACTGTACTATAAAACCATGACTCTCAAGTCCAAACTAATCCATAGGGAGATGAAATATTCCTCTTCTTCATTAAAATATTTGAGCTCAAATTTATGCTGAAGCATATCCAGGTATAAAATAAAAGTTGTGATGATATCTGCTTTGTATCCAATATTAGATTCATAATTTACTGATTATTTTATTTTAGTATGACAATGCAAGTGTCTACTATAATTGTCCATATTCACACTTGAAGAAACAGGCTAGGAGAGATTAAATTAGTGGCTCAACGTCAGAGAGCTAGTAATTATTAAAACCAGGATATGATACTGTATAACGTGAGGGTTCAGGCATTTACCAGTAGTGTATATTGCTCTTATTTCAATACTTTAAGTTGGTCATCTAGGTTGATTACATAGAAGGTAATGTTCTTTTTTGTTTTCATATGTCTTATATTCTTCAACATTTTTTATCCATTTTTATGAGGGGAGTCCCCCAAATCCAGAATTTACTTAAAAAATTGTATATTTATTCTTATAAGTTTCAATTCCAGTCACCTTCAAAGTACTCCCCATCTGATGCAATACCTACTGAGCTGTTTTTTTTACTGCTCCAAACAGTTTTTGAACTCGTCAATTTTGATACCTTTTTGTGCTTCTGCTGTTTTTTATTTCACCTCTTCTACATCATCCAAACGTTTCTCTTTGAGGATTTTTTCATCCAGGAAAGCAAAATAAAGTCATTCGGGATGAGATTGGGTGAATGGAGGGAGAGCGGGACATGTGGGTCATGCCAGTTTCAGGTAAAAACCACTGACCACTCAGCACAGTGTGGGAAGGTGCACTTGTAAATCACCCATCATGAAATGGCCAAACACATTGAAAGAATCTCAAAAAGATTTCATTTTTGAGTCTCTCACAACAACACTAGCTGGTACACTGATGCCAAAGGGTTCTTAGAACACTTATCTAGCAGGGGAAACCTGTACTACAACAGATTTGCCCTCCAAAAGATAATTCTGGATGTTTTGCACCCCTCCCTGTACAGTGTGATAAAATAAAGTCATATTCTCTCTTTCCTATGCCTTTTTATTTTTCGCGTTTCTACAGCCTTTATAAATGGAAAAAAAAAAACAGCAAATCTTTTCTTGAAGTGAGCTAATAATTTTGGCCCCTCCCATTTTTCTGTTGTAACCCAAGGATTTCAAGGATCGTCATAAATATCTATATACCAACAATAATATTTATGATTAGGTAACCCCAGTGTTAAAGATGTGAAAACATGATACCACGGTTTTTTTAAAAAAAATCATTCCAGCCACATTTTAATAAATCTGTATATAAATACCTCTGGAATAGCAATATTACATGGTTTGCTTTTCTAATGGAAATATTAATTCTTATTTAAAGATTACTATTTATTTGCATACTGTACATGAGTCTCTGTTTGAAATTTGTTAGCCTTCCATCTACTGTACATCTACTCCATGCAGCTATTTTTATGGGAAAGTTGGTGCTTTACAGAAGCATTTTGCTTTTATGTGTTGCTATTTTATTATTGCCATATTTAAATGAAGTGCTCCTATTGTGTAACCAGGGAGAGTTCTTTAAACTTGGGAATATTTGCTTCACGTAATATAGTGATACTTATTTATTTCATTTCCCTAAAATATTAACTTTGATTAATAATTATATACAGGCTTTGTTCTTCTTATCTGGGTGTCAACAGTAATTGGAATCCATATCCATATCCTACCTTGCAATCATGCTGCAAAAGGCCAATAAATTCCCGCTGAGTGTGTTACTTGTTAAATTTAGTGCATTACATTCAGGGTAATGAATAAAAGCAGTGGACCGTTACTGTCTGGCTGACTAAGGAAGGCTAGAACAGCCAGACTCCCCTGAGGCCTGGAGTTGGCTTATAAAAACAGTGACAGGCAGAATTGAGGGAGTCCCTAAGCATCATAGTTCAGTTTGTCTCCCTTAATTTTCTCTTCTGTAGAGTCTCAGGCTATAGGGAGGTGAGGTAACCTTAGACATTAATTCACACAGTTTCACAAAATGCTACATGCTTTGGTTTCATTAACAAGCAAACACAGTTTAGACAAATAGTTATGC